TAACAGCACTCAAGCAAAGACTACTTGGAGTTATGCGCCACTTTGCAGTCCCACTTTTATCTCAAACATATAGGAACTGAAAGGAAAATTTGATTTGGCAAACTGTACTTAATGGCAAACATTTGACCATGAACAAATACAAGCAAATGCCTTTTTCGTTTAAGAATCTTTTTACTTTACATGGGGGATGATGGAAAAATAAATAAAAGACAGTCATTTATTTTGTGGAAATGGAAAACACTAATAGGACAGTGTCATTGCGCATCAAACAGTTTAATTTGCTTTCACAAAGAACACATTTACAGCACAGGCTGCAAAAAGCTTCCGTTGAAAGGGCAATGCATATATTATCCACCAAGAAAGGGCAATGCATACATTATACAATCAGCATCTGTGTCTCATCTAGACTGAACACTCTGCCTTGGTCACCTTGTGCACTGGATAATGTCCCTTCAAACTCATACACAACTTGCTTTGAACACAAGTAAGCTTTTGTCTAGCTCCATGCCATCATCTCCACAGCAACAAAGCCTTGAGTTACCATTTACATTCAAGTGGAAACTCACAAATGGATTGTCCTGTGGTCTACATCTGTGGATATTAACTCAATGATTGGGTGATGAAATGTATATCTGCCTTTATATATCGATGTTGCCCATAAAGTTGGAATAGTTGTGTTTTCAGACACATTTCTCTTTTTAATCCTATTTTCAGACAAAATAATGTCATGAAAAGAGGTAACAAATATGTTATTCAAACTTTTTGGGCAACAGTGTATATATACTAGGGCTGTACCCGAATATTCGACTATTCGAATATTCGTTCGTTGGCCAACTATTCGGGTTTCAATTTCATTATTCGGATATTCGTTTTTCTATTTTTTTTTTTTTAAATGTATGCTATTAATAAAGGCGAATTGCCATATTCTTATACTATATTTATACTTTTGAATTGCACTGTTAAAATTCGGAAATATATACAATCTCAGCCTGTGCTCCTGACCTCGCTTCACCTCGTTTCACCCACAAAATGCAGAAGACTTCAGCCATTTTAAATTGGACGACGGTAAGAAGAATATGTGCCAAATATGCGATAAGAAACTGGCCTACCACGGTGGCACAACAACTCTGAAAAGTCACCTGTATGCTGTAAGTAGTAGCCTAGCTTAGCTGTTGTCAAGTTGCCATGATGAAGCTGCTTTATCCGCCGTTTAAACAGTAACGTTACACATGATAAAAACGTGCACTTACTTTGGTTGGAAAATAGTTGCAAGCAAGCAACCGAATTGTTTTTTTATATTAGTTTTTAAATTTTATCCAAATAGTGAAAATAATAGGAGTAATGTGGGAACATTAGGCAATTATTGGCATAAAGTTGAGTAGCTCAGCCTAATAATAACTTGTGTCCATAGGTGCATCCCCACGCATCCCAGCCATCAACATCCTCAACAATACAGCAGACCCTACAGTTACCCTACAGAGGACACAT